CGCGGGGCGCCCCAGCCATGTTCACACAGCAGCAATTCCAGCAGCAGCTGCTGCAGCTCCAGCACCTCCTCCAGCAGCAGCACCACCTGTAGCAACAGGGAGGCCGGTAAGCGCGACTAATCGAGGCCGGGGACCGCGGGCCTGTCCCTGGGGACTCTCCCCAGAAAAGCCTTAGCCTGGCTGGCTTATTGCCTGCCTCTTCTCCCCTTCCACCTGTTCGGGGCGGGGGCGGCCCGCGCACCCCAGCAGGCAGCGGGAGAGGAAGAGGGTGCTGGTGGGTGCAGGAGGGTGAGGGACCCTGATGGGGGAGCTGTACAAGGACATGGGGCCTTTGAACGGCTGGGGGGGGGGGTAAGAAGACTGTGCCAGGGCTAGTAGGACCAAGGGGGGAGGAAGGGAAGGACTCAGTGCAGGGGTGTGAGGGTCCTGGGAGATGGACTGAGGAAGAAGATCCGAGTAGAGGGAGAGGAGCTGGGTAGGGCGAAGGGGATCTCTGCGTGGAGTACAAGCCCTGAGGGAAAGGGGTTTGTCTCCATTTCCCCTAGTGAGTCTGGCCGCATGAAGAGGCTCATGTGTCTGCATGTGCCGGGGAGGGGGTCTGGAAGCTGCAGCAGCAGTAATAAAGGGTCTGCCCAGCCTTTGGGTGGGGTTCAGGGCGCTGCCTAGAACAGCCAGCCGTGCTCGCTCTTAGCTGAGGAGACAGGAGGGGAAGGAATTCCTCCAAATCAGGCATTGCACCAGACGGTTATAAAATACTGCTGTTTGAATGTATAGAGGCGACTTCCCTCCCTTGCAACAGATGGGCACTGCACTACTTCCAAGTCCCCTGTCTTTAGTATTTCGAAGGTGCTTGTCATCCTGATATTGCTGTGATTCCATTATCTTTTGTGCCCGAGTAAAATATCGTTGTGCAGATGATATAAAAACAAAATGGTAGAGAGTCAGAGTGGCAAAATTTAAATCTGTAAAAGGTGGGTGCACAACAGTCAGCCTAGAAAAGCTGACTTGTTTAGAAGAGGGGAGTCTAGAGAAAAACATTGTTACAGCTTAACACAAATGTCCTAATGAGCCTTTTGAACAGAAACAAGGATTTTTATTGTATTATCAGGATCCAACTCCATTTTGGTTAAATAATTTTGTTTTATTGTGCGTATATACTTATTTAACTAGTGTAAGTGTGGGATTATTGAATGCAGTTAGGTGTCCTTCAAGTGACATTTATGTAGAAATAGATTTGTGCTAAGAATTCATGAGGTTGATCTACTATTCAATTAACTGATATTTAAACATCCTTATCAGTTAATCAACTGTTCTATTTAGGGATTTGGGGCAAATATTTGTCAGGGATGGTACTTGGTCCTGCTGTGAAGGCAGGGGACTGGACTCGATGACCTTTCAAGGTCCCTTCTAGTTCAAGGAGATAGGCAATCTCCATTAATTTATTTATATGGTCCCAAGGGGTAGGGCCGGCAGCCAGTGTGCTCTGGTTCCACTCCTGAGGAGCCCCCTGTTACTCTGCACTGCAGCCTCTGCATCAGAGGCAGCAGCGTGGGGTGCCAGGTGGGAGCTGGTCAGCAAAGGGAACCAGTTTAAAAACCAGTTCCCCTTATGGATCAGCTGCCTGTTGCCCTCGCGCTGCTGTTTCTGATACAGAGGCAGCAGCCCTGTCCCGGGCTGAGCCAGGCTGCCTAAATGCATGTAGTTTATAGCATTAACCTATAAGCTTTTGCTTATTGGTTAATCAGTTAATTGACCACACTATTACATCCATAATTTGTGCAGTTACACCCCCATGCTGTTTTGAGGATGCTACTTTGTATTTGTATTTCATTCGGATGAAAAGACAGACACAAGCAGTGAAGATAAGACGGTAAAGAGTGAAACTGCTAACCTAAATTGTATGAAAGAAAACAATAGTTCTGGTCAAGGAACTTTGCCCATTATGACCAGAAATAAAAGATACAGTACAAAAACAGTTAAATAATGCACTTAGGTGCTTTTACTGTTCTGTTGTAAAACTTTATGCAGCAGGCATTCAAGGCTATGGAGGGGAAATGTAAGGAGAAAAAGATGTTCTTTGGATACTAAATCACTACCGCTGTCACATTAGTATGGTGACTATGTTATTGAGGTATGCTTGGAAACCTCTATTATACTAGTAATAGAAGAGGGAAAAGAGCAAAAAAGTATTTACATCTCTTTTCAGTTAAATGTATATGACCCACAATACTGAAAATAATTTACTGTATTGATTCAAATGGTCTTCTAATGAAAAAAATATTTTAAATGGGGTGGCGTGGGTAGAGGAAGATATTGTGCAGAAGTGAATTTAATTGTACAAGGGTCAATAGCGTGTCCATGCGGAGACACATGTCTGTGGTGTAAATTTCGAGGTGTCGTCTGAGGTAATTTTTTAAAAAATTGAATGACATGATCCGTGTCCCTCCCCTTTGTGCCTCCCTATTGTCTGTCATTAAGTACAATAATTTTGTCAAGTGTCTGTCACAGCAACATGATGGTGCCAACCCACACCTGAAGGACTTTCACAGCTACCTCTTTGACTGGCCAGCCTAAAATGTGATGGTTTGTAATGTCAGCACTTGTGCCCACTATGACAAGGCATGAGAGAGTTTTGTCTGATATAATGACGCCTTTTTCCTTTAAGAGCTTAAAAAGCTAACACTGAATAGGCTTCCCAAGGAAACTTCTTTTGGCTTCAAAATATTTATATGGAAGTGGGGTGAGTAAATCAATATTGGCTCAAAAATTAGGGAGTGGGGTTGAGAACAGAGCAGTTATACTTAATTTTAGAGCATATAAAAATAATCCAAGCTAGTGGTTCTCAAAGGCTGTGTCTACACTGCACCCCTTTTCTGGAAAAGGGATGCTGATTAGACACTTCGGAATTGCAAATGCCGTGGGGGATTTAAATATCCCCCGCGGCATTTGCAATTCCGAAGTGCCTAATCTGCATCCCTTTTCCGGAAAAGGGGTGCAGTGTAGACACAGCCAAAGTGTGGTTGTCTAGGCTGGTGCCAGCTGGGGGAGGAAGTGGCTCCATGTGCTGCTGTTCCCCCTCCCCCTATCTGGGGGAAATGGCAGGGCAGCGCAGGAAACTACTTTCCTGGAGGCTTTCCTCAGAGCTCCATTGGCCAGAATAACGGCCAATGGGAGCAGCAGAGGTGGTGCCTGAGAACAGTGGGGTATGTGGAGCCAGGTAAGCGTGGTCCATCCCCCTCCTATCCAAACCCTGCATCCTCATCACCCTCACACACACTCCTTCCCACGAAGACCCTACACTCCCACCCCCACTCCTGCATCCTCCCTCCTATTCAGACCCCCTCCCCCAACTCTCAACCCACTTCTGCACTTAATCCTCCGGCCAGAACCGACACTACTCCTGCACCCTACCTCTTACCCAGACCTCACCTACTCCTGCAACCCACCAGATCCTGTACCCCCATTCCTGGCCCGTTCCCCAGCAACCTTCTTCCACACACCAAACCCCTCATTTTTGGCCCCATCCCAGAGCTTAGGCAGGCCCACAAAATCTTCTAGCCCAGGGACCCCAGAAGAGCAGCCTGTATGAAACCCTGAACCTCTGTCCTCCCATGGAGATGGAGTGTGAGGGGAGTGAGGTGTCTCAGTCTGGAGCCATATCAGTGGAGAGTTGGTTTTTTGTTTTAGGTTTTATTTGCTTCTGACTTTTGTGTGACCCCCGACTGATTTTTCTGTGGGTCAGTGACTCCTGACTCAAAAAAGGTTCCCCACCCCTGCCATAAATAAAGACAATGTTAAAACCTCTTGTTTTGGATGTAAAGTAATATTTTATTTTATTTAAAATAAAGTTTGGTAAACTGACAAAGTTAAAGCACTTAATCTGTTTAATTATTTTAGTTTTGATTCATAATATTTCCTTTTGTACTGGTTATATATGCTCCCCCCTTACGTTATAGCTGCATATTTACGTTTTTATGTTCCAGTAGCATAATATGAATAATTTAGTATTTAAGGTATTTAGAGATAAGCAAAGGCATTTTGTTGTAATGGTTGGTTGGCTGGTGGTCCACAGAAATGTTTGCATTGACCAAGGTGAGCTGCTGACCAAAAAGTTTGAGAACAACTGATCAATTCCATTCCTAGGATATTCTCACTCCTCTCATTTCTTCCTTCTGGCCCATACTTTAGATATTAAATTGCTGCCATTTTCCCCAACTCTCCCATTTAGGTGCAACTGCATCCATATGAACAGCCTTTGGGTAGGAGTACCTGTAGTGGATTTTGAGTAGCGTCACAGGATGATGAAAATGTTTTAGAAACCAAGAGGAGTTGTTGAATTCTGCTAGAGATCAGTTGCCTGCATGTGTCTTTAGGCTTGTAATCCTCCACTGTACTTCCCTTATGTGTGTTTAATGTTGAAAAGTTCTGTCTCCTGAAATTGGCAAAGTTGCAGACCTAAAATTTCATAATGGACAATCCCTCATCATTGGGTATTCCAGCAGGATGGAAGAAAGGGGATACAATGTTAATGTATACAATTTTTTTAAAATGCAAGCACATCATTGTTGCTCTTGTTCTTTGCCCCTTGTGTTGTGCTTGTTAGAGACCAGAGTGATTTTGAAAATTACACTTTTCTACAGGAAGATTTTTCAAGTGTTTGATCTAATCTTTTCCAGGGGTTTGCCACCACCTCAGCAACAACAAATGTTGAACTTACGGGCAACAAATCAAGCCTCACTCCTCAATGCCAATCCAATGCTTCAGCGAGCTCTGCTCATGCAACAAATGCAAGGTACTGTCATTGTTGGAGATGCTCATTGCATTTACTTAATTACCTCTACACCCTGGGAACCTGGGAGATAAGTCATAGAATACATGTTATGTTTCTAAACATCAGAGTGCCCTATGCTTTGGCACTTTATTCCTCTGCACTGTTCTTTTTCATATTTGGACAGTCCAAATCTCAGAGGTTCTTCAGTTGTTGAAAATCTAATTTCTCAACTGCTCAAAAGTGGAAGTTGTGACTTCACAATGGGAATTTTCCAGGTGGTTTAGACTGAAAAAGTAGATGCTGGTAAAATTCTTTCTCTTCTGCAAACCTCAGACAAATAAAAATGTTTCTGTGAATATATTAAACAGAATCATGATTTTTGTTTGGATTTAATTAGTCATTTGCATTGTCTGCAAACTCTAACAGATTTGTTGCAGACTGTGTAACTGACTGGTAGGTCTTTCTTCCAAACTCAGTGAAGGCTGGCAGGAGGAGGGGGTGAGAGTACATAAAAGTAAAAGGTAAATTTTTAAGAAACAGCTTTGCAAAATTCTACTTGTTTGGAGTAAGTAACTTATTTTTGTGGCTAATGTCACTATTTCTTCCATCATCTGGTTCCCAGGTGGATAGATTTTTTTGTTCAAGAACATTTTACAATGTTGCCCAATAATAGTCGTAGTTAATGTAAGATAGTAGAAATGCAGGTAAGGCACTTTAGGTTTTTTTTTTTTTTAATTATGTCTAGTTTCTTTTTAAACTGCACAGTGCCATTTTGACAAAGAAAGAGGTACCCGGGTAAATTTGAACAATCATTTAACTTAAAACTGGACCAGGGATTTTTCTTGAATAAACCTTCATACTGCATGTTATCATGCCCTTTCTTCTCCCTTGCCTAATTAATATACATACTCTCTCTTGACCCCGGTGGCCTTCGAGATATCTTTTTTCAGATGAAGAATGCTGATGTAGTAAGGGACAAATTCCAGTCCAGAGCTGGTTCTTATTTTTGAAGTTTTTTATACATGTTTGTATCATGGAAGTAACTTAGGCTCAGCAAGACTATAAAAGGAGGATGACTGATATTTGATGTTAAGCAGTAGTATGTTTTTTCTCCAAAGGTGACAATTTTATTTTAAATATGATTTGTCAATAGCAATGTGTCCTATGATCTGAAACAAACTGGATATGCCAATTGAACAAGGTGTTTTAATGACCAGTCTAATAAGGTGGAATTTTATCCCCACCTTATTAGCAAGCTGGAACTAGTATTTGTGACGTCTGCTTTTGACATTCTGCATTGTCTCATGTTTAAATGTGTAATAAAGACCATACTGAACAATATGACTGTACTTCTGATCTGAATTTTTGTGGTCAGCTACAGGTGTGGATTACATGTGAGAATATCTGGTGCCTAGGTATTTCCGTGCCCAAGAAACATCATAATAAATAATTCAGTGGAAGCCTATGCTTTCAACAGTGGAAATGGGGAAAGAAGAAATGCCCTTCTATGTCTAAATGTATATGGAATTCATATGAATTTGTTAAACTATGAATGGAAGGCCATTTCCTACCATGTAGATTTTTGCTCAAATTTAAGATAAATCTCCTTACAAGAAGAGATCTTATTTCACAGCATAACTGACAAGTAAATCAAATCTATAGGAATTCCTTGTGTTGTGAGGCAGCCTTTATACATTATACCAGGGTCATCTGGTGCTTTATAGCATTATGAGTGTCAGAACTCCTGGGTTCTGCTCATGACTGGCACTGACTTCTTGTGTGGCCTTTGGCTAGCTGCTTACGTACAAATTTTCAAGAGTGAGCTCTGATTTTTGGATGTCCATTTCTAGAAAGCTATAGACTGATTTTTTTCAAAGGTGCAAGTACCCAGAGTTTAAATTGACTTCAGTGGGAGCTATTGATTTTCAGTACCTCTGAAAATTAAGCAGTTGGTATTTAACAATTGGCAGTCAAAATTAGAGACTACTTCTAAAACCTTGGCTCTAACGCTTGTGTCTCTGCTTCCTTATCTGTAAAATGGGAATGGCATTTTCATCAGAAAGTGGTTATACTTGTCTAGTGATTATAAAGCACTTTCAAATGGGTGCTCTGCTGAAAAGAAGTGCCTAAAAGACAACACATTGTAATAGAAAATGGTAGCACCAAAAAGGGCCTGAGTTTAGTTTATTGTTTTGAGATTCCATGATAAATCTGATGGCGTGTGAAATCCCTTGTTCAAAATGCTGTTTTAAATGAAATGCTCCCATCACTGCTGCTGTTCTGTCCAAAAAAACAAAACAAAAAGATAACATCAGATCAGAGTTTGAACTGCCAGCTGCATGAGCTGTGGGACCACTTTCCCTCTTCTAGAAGGAATCTTGGCAAAAACAAGATCTTGTATGTCTTTAAACATGGGGTGCCAATGTGTTTGAATCAAATAATCTACTCTAATGATTTTAGCCTGCAGTACCAATTTTTAACAGTTGAATAGTCTAACATAGCCCCACATGGCAGCAATGATGGAGTGAGATCCTAGGGATGGTTGGGGGAAGCAGAAACTGGCCAACAAAACTCAATTACTTATATACGTTCCCTATGGAAAGAGAGATACAGAGTTCTCTAAGTGCTGCCCCTCACTGGTGTTGTCATGGCTTGGGGGTTTGCTGTTTCCTGAGCTCACTCTACATGTGAGTGATATGTTGTATATTTGCATTTGTAGGAAACTTAAGAGGATTTAACATGACAGCTCCAGCTCTGCAACAGTTTTTCCCTCAGGCTACCAGACATTCCCTTTTGGGGCCACCACCTGTTGGGGTCTCATTAAAGCCAGCTCAGCTGGGCTTCCCAGGCCTTCCATTCCAGCGTCAGAATCGAATGTTTCGTAAGGTGAGTTTGTGATTTCCAAATCTTTAGAGGCTTGCTCTTATTTGATGCTGGCTGGTGTCTGCTAAGATGATTACCCTAGTGTATGTGGGACACTAAAGGGAAATGTGGGAGGATTGGAGTAAAAGAAGAACCATTTAGTATCAGAGTGCTGACATAGAAGCACTTTGGTCAAATCAACCCATTTCCAGAGATTCTATTTGTACTGTTAGGGAGTTCCCCATCTTCTTCCAATAGATCTCTCCTGTCCTAGGATACCAGGATTCATTTGACTAATTCTATATAAATAGTAAAATAGTAGAAACCTTTAGAAATACTTACCTCAAAATAACTACAACACAGCATGTGAAATCATGGTTCAGCTTTCACGCCCATAGCAAAAAACTCATGGCTGCACTCCTCCTGGAGACTGGTCTAAAACGTGAAAAATCGAGCAGAAGATTGGTGCTGACTCACCGTGGCTATCAGCAAGTCACCTAACTTCTCTCTGTCTCCATTTTCCCATCTGTAAAACCATGATAATACCTGCTTATTGTGATGTTTAATTGATGAAATTTTATAAAGCCTTTTGGGCTTCTCAGTGGACGGTATTACAGGATTGCAAAGTACTACTAATCCCCAGCTCCTCTTGCTTTTCAATTCGTTCCCCAGGTTTGAATTCAGGTTTGTCTGGGCATCTACTGAAGATGTTCCTTTTATTTTTTAAAACTGGCCAAGATTTCTCCTCTGTTTCAGTCCTAGATTTTTTGTTATAGGTTGAAACTCTCTAGTTTGGCACACTCTGGTCTGGCAACAATTGTGATTCAGCATGATTGTAGTTAGCTGGATGTCCATTTACCATGAGTGGGGGGTCAAGTTTCCCTTGGACCCATACAGTTTTACAGCCACCAGTCCTGACTCTGTTCTGTGCTGTTATCTAGCTCTAATTTACCCCTATATGTCTTCCAGAGCCAAATAAGCAGTGGAAGTGTTAGTAATGCTGCTAGACCATATTGACCTCCCATGATCCAGCAAATTCTCTGGTTTGACACTTGTCAGGTTCCGCAGGTGTCGGATTAGAGGTGTTCAACCTATACCTACTCCAGTGTTCAGTACCATTTTAACTGGAGCTTCGATCAGCTTCGATCAGCATTCTGGGCTGGAGAGAAAAGGAAGAATAGTTATTTGGGGCTCTTCTTCCTTTCAGCCCTTGCAGGTTTTGCATGGGCCACTCTGAAATACCCTGGACTGATCATAGCTTCCATTAAAGATCTTGGAGGATGTGTCATCAGGTGCCTGTAGTCTGGAATCCATGTACAGAAGTCTGTTCATCCACTTCCAGTTGCTTTATAGAGGAGAGTATTAAATAAATCACCAGGCTATCTACTAGTGGAGTTTCTGCTTTGGTCCTATCATAAAACTTCTGGAACTTTGGGAGATGTATTGAGTTTTGAGAAGAAGAGAGCTGGGTGTGAGACCATTGCTAATTGCAGGATTACCAGAGGGGCCCTGACAGGAAGCGAGAGCTGGATCAGGCATCCTCATCTCAGCCACAAGGAGTTGATGAGAAAACAGAAATCTCAGAAGGTACCCAGGCTGGATCAGAACAGAACAATTCCTCACCCACAGGTAAGAGGGCCCTGTAATGAAACAAAATAATCTGAGCCTGCTCAAGAATCCTCTCCAGTATATTGATGGAGCAAAAACCTGAGATGGCTTTAGTCTCGTTAGATGCTTACTGCAAGAGAGGATTTCTGGAAGATAGATGCATGTTTCCATGTTAATACCTGGAATCCTATTGGGATAAGGGCACCATAGTGGTAGGCACTGTACAAACACATGAAGATACAGGCTCTGCTTCAAAGAGTTTACAATCTAAGAACACACAAATATAGTGAGATTGTATCCAGATAAATACCCCATATAGGAATGATTTTATTTTTTCCAGCTCAAATGCCATGGAAAACTGATCTTGATTACAAGGATGTTGAGCTGGTTGATGAGTCTAATAATTGACTTTAATGTGTATTATTGGATTTTTGTGGTGTGAGCTCTTGATCCCTTGGTATTGGACTGTGTCCTGAACACTCAATAGGTAGTAAGTTCACATTTCTACTTCAGGCTTATAGCAGTAACTTCTACAGATAAAACGCCGTATTCCGGATCATCACTAAACTCTTGAGTTAGCAATCCATTTCCACCCTTCTGAAAGTCAGAATTGGCTAAGTGCCTTCTAATCTTATCTGTTCTAAAAAACTGTATCTGATGTAGGCCACTTGATAGGAGATGAAGTCAGATGAGCCATGTTTTTTCTGCTAAAGTAATATCTATCTTTATTTCTGCAGAATCAAAAATTCCAGCAGAATCCATACTGGACACTGAGCCTGCAGCAAAGAGACTGAAGAGGTAATTTCTACTGAAAAGGCCATGGAGATGCCCGTTGGATTTAGATTGCTTGTCTGTTGTTGTTCAATTGCTTTGTTTGTGGTAAAATGGGGGGCCATCACACCAGCCTGACTTCTGGCATTTGGGGAGAATATCTCCAGTGCTCATGGGTGACACACAAAACCTCAGGGCACTTCCTGAGTCCAAGTGTGCTGTAAGTAGAGCCTGCAAATCCTCAAATATCTATTTATATTCATGGGTATCTGTATCCACAGATGTGGATGCAGTTATCCATGGCTCATCTTTGTGGATATGGATGCAAATTTTGTATCTGCACAGGGCTCTAGCTATAACTTTCACAACCATGAAGATGATGAATAGAGAGCTGGATCATGTCTAGGAAGTCTACAAAGATAACATTTCCTGAGGCCCACTGTTTCCTAGATCGGGTATAAATAAACACGGGCAATTGATATTCTATGAATGACCATGTGGGAGGAATGACACACAATATAAAGGCCCAGTCTGCAAAGTCTCTGCTTCCTGCTCTGCCACTGACTAAGGGTGTAAAATCCTGTTTAATTGGTTAACTGGGTAAACATTATGTTCATCTGGTTAACCAATTAAAGGGCGATGGGCAGGCTGGAGCAGGCCCCCACCATTGCTGAAGACAAGGGCTGCGGTTGGAGTGGCTGGGCTGGGCTGGGCTGTGGTGGGCCTACCATGACCGGGCTGCTCCCCTGCACAGTCCTTGCCTGTAGTGGGCCTTGTGAGGCTGGAGCAGCCTCTTGCCTGCTGTGGGTGGGGAGCAGCTCCAGCCACTACTGTGTAATCAGAACTGTTAAGCCTCACCCATTAAGGTTAACTGATTAACCATTCACATCCATATCGCCATCTGGTGTGAAGAGCGTGTAACACAGCTCAACCAACAGACCTGTACTATTCCAAAGTGTCTCTTGCTCAAATCTGTTGTCCATGTAATAGGGAGGAGAGAAAGTGAATAATTATTAGAGAATCATTAGACATTGATTTAGAACTTTTTCTCCAAAGTGAGTTTATCTGCAAAATCCCTTTTTCTATTCAAGTGCATTAGAAGCTCCCTTACATGCACTAGCGATGGATACTCAGGACTTCTGCAACCAAATCTGTTCCCTGCTACCAATTCATGGGCAATCTCTTCGTCTCTCTGTGCCAGTTTCCACATCTGAAGATTAGAGATTAACAAAGACCTCTGTGGAGGGTGTTGTAGGGTTGATTTGATGTTTGCACAGCACTTTGATCACAAAAAGGTTTACAGAAATGCAAAATATTATTCAGCGTTTGGAGATGCATTGTGAATTAGCAAGCTGACAAGAAAGTGCAATTAAAACGACGGCTGACTCATCACACCATGTACTTTGTTGATCCATTTGCCGAATATAGTTTGGTTTTAATTATGCTACTAATTTGCAATGTATTAATCAATGTTTTGTAGCATAAATTGGATAAATAATCAAGTCTCAATGATAGGAGTCCTTGCTGCAGTGACTCTAGTAGTCTTTACTGAGCAGTGGCTAGAGTCTATCAGATTTAGTGTTACAAGAGGCTGATAAGAACAATTTGCACCTCTGTAAGTGTGGGTACTCTAAGTGCAAATTGTTCTTATCAGCCTCTTGTAACTTGAACAATCCAAATCACTATTTTTTTTTCTCCTATCCCTGCTCCCCCACCACCTTCCCTTATTTTTTTTTCTTGGATCTGGATTTTTAATACTCCAGTCATCTGAAGAAGTGGGTTGTACCCACAAAAGCTCATATTACCATCTACATGTTTTGTTAGTCTTTAAGGTACTGCTAGATTATTTGGTGTTTTTTAAGTTTTTCTAGTTACAGACTAACTCAGCTACCCCTCTGAAGGTTTAGCGTGTATCTTATGTATGGGGTGCAGATTAGCAAGGCTCTACTCTAACTGAATCCATAGGTTTAGAGAGTGTTTTTATTAATATCAGAATGACCTGATGCTGAATCTCTGGATCAGTTGAGACTAAATCTCCCTTTCAGAGCTCTGAACAGCCCTATTCTGCATATATTTCTGCTCTTTGTTTTACTGCATCTCACCTCTCCCCTTTTCTGCCAGTGATGTGAACCTCCATGCACATTTCCTTCCCACACTCTTACCTTCATGTATTCTGCATTGTCCATAAGCCTGGAACAACATCCTTATACCAGTGCAACAGGCAACCATTCTTTTCATTTGACTCCTTGAAATCCCATGTCTTTCTCCAAGAGCCAAAAATTGTAACAAGAATTAATATGAAACTCCGTTTAAAAAAAGTGACACACCCTCTTTCAGGTCTGTGATGGCATACCACCATGTCTGACCTTAGAGACCCTGAGGAGTTCCCTACAACTATATGTTGTAGGCTGTGTTGCGCACACTGTCAATGCTTGACAGATAATCATAAAACAAGGCACTATTTTTTGCCCTGGTCTGCATTGTCAAAATCTTGCTGTGTATTTATAGCTGCGTAATTCAGTTACTTTATCACCTATCAGTCTGCTAAATTATGGACTGTGTGTTTAAATCTTACACAGACTGTATGTGGTTACTGAATTCAGAGTGTGCTGCTTCCTGTGGGCAGAAGTGTGTCACAGTGGGAATGTTGGTCTGGCCTGGGAAGATGGCTAGCTGAAGGTGCTGACATATAATCAAGAAAAAAATCTGCTCTATTGGATCATTCTGCAGATTGGTCATTCATTCATAGCAACCCCTTTAGGAGCCTGTTTCCACTCCTTAAATCAGACCAACAATGAAACACAAAGACAACTCCAATTAGCAGTGTTTGGTCCACCAAAGCAGCCTCTGTCTGTGATGGGCCTGCCACCCCTTCCTCTCCCTGCCACAGATTACAAGCTGGCTCCTCGAGAGTGGGGCTGGCAGGGGCTGTTAGCTTGCTCCCTGGGAGGCAGGTTCACTGCAGGCTGTGCAGTATGAAGCTTATTTAAGCTTTATACTGCAGAGCCCGCAGCATGTGTAACTGCTGTTTTTAGTGGTTATACAGTTACATTTTTTAAATCCAGGGATGTCAAAAAGGAGTTTATCTTCCCCCTAGTCCTAGAACAGGTGAATGTTCATCAACCAAGGTAAGAAATGAATCCCTGAGCCCCTTACTGAAAGCACACTCCAGGCAGTTTTCTACAAGGGATAGTTACAGTTATCCCTGAACAATTGGTTCATGCTCTTTTGGCTGGCCTTAGACGGTAGGGTTGCTATTTGTGTATATACAGGCAGTCCCCGGGTTACATGGATCCGACTTACATCAGATCCCTACTTACAAACGGGGTGAGGCAACCCCGCACTAGCTGCTTCCCCCCAGCAGACCAGGGAGACGCGAAGCTAGCGCCCCCCCCCAGCAGACCAGGGAGACGCGGAGCAGCTTTTCTCAGCAGACACCTCAGCTTGAGAATAAAGGACTGAGGGAAGTGAGGTGTGGGAGAATAAAACTGAGCTCTGGAGAAATGTTTGGCTAGAGTTTCCCATACAATATGTACCAGTTCCGACTTACATACAAATTCAACTTAAGAACAAACCTACAGTCCCTATCTTGTATGTAACCCAGGGACTGCCTGTACTGTGGTGCCTCTCCTGTATTCTGTTCTGCTGGAGCTTCACCAGAAATACCATCTGTAATTGTAAAATATTATCAACTTATTTTAGAGATTTCAAGTTGCCTTTTGATGGTTAATAACACTATAGATTGCTCTACATGGCCTGTGGTTTAAACACCAGCTTATGCACTAGATTAAGCCTCACCATCCTCCTGGCTTAGGACATAGGTGATAATCTTGTTCTCCTTTTTTATTTTTTTTTCCAATTGAAGTGTGGAAGAAGTGCCCATACTAGAGGATGCTGCAGGCAGCCAGGAAGCAGAGGAGTCAAGCATTGAAACCCAGGCAGATGGTAAGAAGAGATTATCATGACAGATGGGAGCGATAGAGCCCCCAGACTGCTGATGTGTGGATTGGTAGTTTCACTCCCGGTATAGATGCGGTGCGACACACGGGGTACATCTATCTGCTCTTTATCTAGAAGATGTAATTCCCAGTTTGGGTAGACAAATACATACTAGCAGCACGCTAAACATAGCACTGTGGCTGAGGTGGCTGTTTGGGCTACCTGTCTATGATGATAGGTGCATACTTGGGTGGCTTGTCTGAGTCACCCTCTGCCCTTCATGCCCCCCTTGCTACTTTTATCCTGCTGTCTCAAGTAGATCTAGCAAGTGAGTGTTTTCCAGAGCTGAGAATTACACACATCCCAAGTTCACTGTGGGCATATTCTTGATGTCTGCAGTTACCCTGAATTCTTTCAGAAACAAATTTCAAGGAAGAGAAACACTAGGACCAACACCCTAAGAATATGCCCCAGTAACTGTCCCTCTTCCAGATATTTGGGGGCCTTCCACATGGGTTTTCAACGGCCAGATGCAAATAATGGGATGAATTTCCATGTTGTACAAGGACTTTCTCTATGAAAACCAGGTTGAGGCCCTGTGAACGTAGGGTAATATCCGTCTACAGGGGTGAGATGAGCTTCTAGACTTCATGCACCTGGTTTTCTATCATTGTTTAGTTTTAATCCAGTTAAAGGGTCTCTCTATCTTTAGGACCAGGCAGCGTGAAGGAGAATACAGCTGAAGATGCCTCCAAGGAGAGAAATTTCTCTGGGGAACTGAAAGTTCCAGAGGTAGGTGGGCAGGGCATAAAGGGAGCGTGTGCAGAGAACGTTTCTCTGTCCCCAAAGAGTCGGTTTTACCGAGGTTTCCATTGTGATTGTAAACCAAGTAGCACTTGACTCTTGAGTTAATATCAGTGGCCTTGTGCTGTTATAGGAAGCTGCTGTGCAGGGGCTGTCTCTGATTAAATGACAACAGATTATTGCAATGTTTTCATTTGTTATAAACCTGCACCCCTATTGAAAGCATGGAAGCTCTATTACGCTCCCATGCTGCATTTTGACCATTGGAGTAATGATACATTCCAATACTTCCATACTGGTCTGTAAGGATGGGAGGCTTTTGTGGGTGGCTTTTTTGTTTTTGAAATGCACATTAAAAGATTGATTTGTGGCTCTTAAATGTCTGAGTTTTCTGAGAGGAGCTTCTCTCAGCCCAGACTCAGAAGGGTAACAGCCGTCCCCACCAGGTAGGTCTGTTTTAGAGGCTGTAGAACTGAGGACAAACATGGGAGTGTAGAAGTCGGTAAGAGAGATTGCAAGGGATGCTATTACAGCAGATGGAGAGCATGCCTTTCTCTCCCTGCCTTTCCTGGTAAGTGAGCTGAATGCTGGCAGCTACCTTTATGGTTTGAAATTACAGCAGGAGGAAGAGGCTAGTTGGGTCTTGATTCTTGGCAAAGTAGACTAGAGAGAAACAGGCTAGGGTATAACACTATTGGGGCCAGCAGGGAAATGCACTTGCAGCCTGGAGCCTATGCTCCATAACATAGTTTTGTTATGATTAAAACTACCTAAAGGCCTGTCTGTATTCCAGGCCAGATCCTACATATCTGACTCTGCCAATGCATAGCTGTCTCCCATGGTTAGTGACATCTGTGTTCCAAGGTGGGGTGTCTCCCTGTATATGGACAGGACACTACCCCTACAGAAGTGTGTTAAGGAGTTGCATTATAACCTTGATAACATTGTGATACAGCAGAGCCAGAGAGTAGCAAGAGACGGAAGGTATATAAGCACTAGGGCTTCGTCTTTACTGCAAGTTCTTCCAGCAGAAAATATGCTAATGCGCTGATTGTGCTGCGGCGCCGTGCTGGGCTATAATCTACTCGCCCATGGCGAGTAGATTACCTAAATTGTCGAGCCCTGCTAATGAGGGACTCATTAGCATAAGTCGTGATCTCATTAGCATATTTTCTGCCGTTACTTTTTGCGTAAGGGGTTTTTGTGCAAAAAGAAGCAGTGTGGACTTTTTTTGCACAAAACCCCTGTTTTGCACAAGATCCTTATGCCTGTCCCGGAGAGGCGTAAGGATCTTGTGCAAAACAAGGGTTTTGCACACACAAAATTTGTGTGTGTACACACAAGACTTGAAATGATATTTGGCTGACATTTAAATGCATTTTTCCAGATGCTATGGAAATTGTAGGTAAACTTGACCCCTATTCATTAGAAGCCCCTAAAGAGACACCTAGATTGGACTCTCTTGACTTTTCATTCTGGCAGGTATTGAGTTCGGGGGGTGCGTTGAAAGTGACTATTCAGCAGAGCAGTGAGAGCAGAGCTATCAGCACCACAGCCCTGAAGCCAGCACACTGGGCCTGTGACCTGGGCACAGCTGATACCAGTCCTGAATCTGTCCTTAAATTCTTCTGTTACATCTGCAAGACCGATTGCTGCAACCAGCAGGTATAAACACTTTGGCTAAATCTGGGGGCCAAGGGATGGAATCACATGGCCAGGGGGCTTGCAGTAAAAATTTTGCACTTTGAGACGTGTTTTCAGGGTATCCGGCACAATGATTACTAGAGGCCAAGAAAAGTCTATAAAAAATAAAATAAACTCCTCCTCCAAAGAACACACAAGCGAACATCCTAAAGTCCCAGCACTGGCTGATCCAAAGGTAGCCATGGTTTTAAGCTGTCCAAAGATTGGTGATCAGTAGAGGGGAAATGGAAAGCATTTAATTGACAGGTTACATTTGGGCGGGGGGGCATTGTTTGTTTTTAAAATTTTGAGTCTATCTAAATGGATGTTCTCCTCCTTGTTAGAATTTCCAATCCCATATGGCTGGTATTCAGCACCAGCAGCGACTTGGGGAGATTCAACACATGAGTAACGTCTGCTTTGTCTCGCTGCTTCCCATGGTGAAGGAGCAGACGTTGATGGCTAAGAAAGATGGGTATGTATCAGCATACTGGAGGTGGAGGGTAAAAAGAGTTGATCCCATTTCGATATTACAGAGCTTGGAACTTTAGAAATAACTTTAATGTATCCCTACTGGCCTTAAGATACCACCCCAGAAACCAACATTGCAAAGGCAGGAGTCTGTAAAAACAGATTAAAATTCTGGATTCAAGTAAAACTGTCGTGTCTTCCCCAATCATTCTCAAGAACATACATTAAAGAGGGAAGAAAAACCTCAAAGCAGTAAAAACTTAGTATTTGCTTTCTAGGTTTAGTCAGTGTTTTGTGATGAGATCTGATCAGACATGGACAGGGGAGGTATCTGTGTAAGGCTGGCCTTTAATAGAGTGCATGTCATCACATATATAGGTACAGTCTAATAGAAATGCTCAAGACTCTTTGGCTAGGATGTTCTTGCTAGCAATCCCTAGTTAGTTCTGAACACAAGGGAGGCAGGGCTTTGAGTTGAAGGCCTTACTTTAAAAAAAACTGGCCTCTGCATTGGTCCCACCCACTCAGAATGTATCAATATTCAGGTTATAGTTCAAGGCCCATCTGTTCTCTTGGGTCTTAGCCCCAGCAGGTGTAGCCCCTTTGGGAAAATTATTTAGCTGCATCCTATAGTGTAGTTGTAGTGCCTTTGTCACACTATGTAGTTTTTAATGCAGTTCATCAGCCTGCATCTGTCATGATGAATGCATTTTTATAGACGGAGTTAAGTCAAATCAACTAAAGGTGGAGAGATAGGAACTGAAATATCATTGGGGGGAGGGAGAAAGCACAGTAGGTGCTGAGACCTCACAGTTGCAAAAACAGTGTTCCCTGGGGAATCCAAGGAGCCTCTTACTGAGCCATTCTTCTCACCACAGAGAGATCCAGCAGCGATGGTGTAATACCTGCCAGATACACTTTTCAGGGGATCTAATCAAACATCGAAGGACCCAGGAACATAAGGTAACAAATCAATGCACAAATTTACAAAGGAGGTTGAAGGATAAGACTCTCACTCCCCGGCCAATAAGGATAAGTGAGTCATATTGCCCTAGTTCGGGGTGGTGCTCAGGCTTCAGCCCTGGATCCAAGTAAGTCAAATGCTGGCCCTTTAAACTCCATTAAAATGGGGTCCTGCCGCACAGTTTGAGAACTGCAGTTCTAGCTGGATCTCTCTATGCACCTAGTTCTCTTGGGCTTCGGTTCACTGGTACTAGTGGAATACTTGGGTGTCAAGATGAGTGAATTAGCACTGACTAGCACCACACGTATTGTTTTCCGATTATTATTATTATTATTATTTATTACTACTACTGTTACTACAGTCTCTGCTTATTATTAAACTGTCTACCCAGAGGTATGATAGCTCTTTTCTTGATCACTCTCAACTGCATGGGGAATTTTAGGTGAGCATTTTGTAACTGACAAGTGCCAAGAGATCTTTGAAGACCATGAGTCACCACATCCTTTCTGTGTTGCTCTCCAAGCACGCCAGGATGCCCCCTCTCCTACTGTGGGAAAGTGATCTGACTGTTCTAGATTCACAGTTATGGTTTTGAGAGAGAAGTTGTTTAAATGGAGTTGAATTGAAACAAAAAAGCACCTGTCTTAACCAATCCAATCTTCTCATCCCTCTTTTCTCAGCTGGCCAAACGCTCTCTCCGTCCCTTTTGCACTGTCTGCAGCCGCCACTTCAAGACCCCTCGCAAGTTTGTGGAGCACATGAAGTCTCCGGAGCATAAGCAGAAGGCCAAAGAGGTAATGCAAACTGGATGGGGGAAAGCACTGCTGTATTACAGAAGTGGCTGTGCTTGGTATGTGGGGAGGAGTGTCTGTCCCACTTGTCTCAAACCAGTGAAGAGGTGCATCATTTTTCTATCAAGGTGTGTTCCTGTCCTGCCTGTCTGCATTCCCATACTACTTGAAGGTAATTGAGCACTGTATGTGTGCCTGGGAGCCTTCTTGGTTTCTAGCAATGCTCATCTCAGAGCAGCAGTACTGGACTCCACTTAGAGCCCTCCTCATCAACAGGAGGAATGTTATGAGAGTGCTGGAAGCTAGCAGTCTGGTCTCATCTTTCTTGTCTATGTCTGGCAGGTGAGGCTGGGCGAGAAAGAGCTAGGTGGGCCAGAGGACTCAGAGGAGCTAATCACAGTCGATGCTATTGGCTGTTTTGAAGATGACGAAGATGAGGAGGAGGAGGAGGAGGAGGAAGGAGCTGGTGAAGAAGGCGGCTCTGAGGTGGTGCAGACAGAGAATGAAGATCCTGTCATCAACCAGGTACAGCATGATAACAGAAATGGAACTGTATTAGAAGAGCATCTGAGTTGGAATCTTATGGCTCAGTCAGTGAGGGCCAGTGGAGTTCAATGCATTTTGGAGGCTGATCTACTATGTTCCCAGAACATAGGATAAGATGGGGACAAAGATACTTTGAGATCAGATTTGCTGCAGCACCTGTTTCATGTCTCTCACATAAGAGGTTTCCAGGGTATAATATGATGCCATTACTCCTGTGGCTGGCTGGCTGAGCAATGTTAACTGGTTCAAGTGGTACCTCAGCTGGAAAGACATGGGCTGTGATGTGTGGCTTTTTCACAAGAAGTCTGAGGACTTTGATCTCCATAGGTGATACAGGGGAGCTCTTGAGGGTGCAAGAAGATATCCTGGGGTACCTTGACAAGGGGGGCAAAACAGCACAGACTTCACTCTGTCATTCTGCTTTGTCTGATCCATTAGCAGCTTTGCTCCTGTTCCTAACTGGACCCCATAGATGGATACATCTTGGCAAGTGTTCTCCAAATGAAATGTGTTCTCTCGGCTTCAAGAACATCTAACCGTGGGACAGACACAGTTAAAGTAGCTGAGACCTTAAATACATGTGGTGGTTTTTAACCCTGCTAATGAAATATTCTGCTGGTATTTGGCCTGTATCTGGATTTAACCTGTCCATTGTGCTATGCTGATAATGTAACCTGTGCAGGATGGTGTGAATACTGAATGGTGACACAATTAAGGAGTGTATATTACAGTAGAAAGGGGAAAAATAACTTTTCCCCCATGCTTATTGGAAAGGGTTGAAGGCTTATAAGGAGAGCTGAACAATGGATGCTGCTTCAGTAGACAGCCCTTGCAGGCTGGGGGCTCCATGCATTGACATGGTCTCTTGTTTCTTGTTCAGGTTGGGGTGAAGGAAGAGCCTCCAGAGGACTGTGAAGGAAATGAGATTTACTGTCCAGATACCCCCTATGGTAAGCTAACCCAGTCAACGCGGCATGCCCAGTCAACGCGGCAGGCATTAAAAGGTTTTCGGAGGTCAGGGGCTGCCATTGTATGTGGGGTGGGCCTCAGCACAATTATGTGGCCTGCAATAAGCAGAACTTACTCCAGCATCCATGTCAGACCAAAGAAGGATAGCTGATTGTGGCGAAGCGACAAAGTTTGATCTGCTGAGTAAGGCATGTGCTGTTTGTCAAAGCTGCGAATAGGGTTGACAAGTGCCTGTTGCCCTCGAGGGGCTGAGAACCCTTGATCTCATCCAAGAGGACTAAAGAACTGTGCAGTGGGAAAGGAACCAGTGCAAGAGCGAGAAGTGCTGACAAAGCCATGTAGAAGGCAGAGTTAATAGATCAGGGATGCACAAAGAGGAATGGAGGTGCCCTATTCAGAACATTCTCTACAAGAACGGAAACCTCAATAGAGATGCTTCTCTCCTGCATTGAAGATCCAGATTAGGTGCACCGTGACTCCACAAAGGAGATTGAACTGCATGCCTTTCCTCTGTATTCTTTGGAACCACCATTCTAGACTCCATCTGATCAGAGCAGAGAAGCTGCTGAACATGTGTGCTGTGCTGCTTCCAGAACTTCTTTTGTGCTCTCTCTAGTCACCATCCGAATCTCTCTCAACAGTTCAGCCAGTAGTGCGTTGTGGGGAAGGTAGGGGCACATGCACTGACAGAAGCTGCTCTATTTACACCAGTTTTCCACATTGCTATAACCTTCCACTGTCATGTGGCAGGCAAAATGAGTAATGCTGTGAATGTTCTCTCTGTGTTTCTCTCATGTGCCTGCTGTTTTCTGCTTGGATTGAGCCCATTACAGCTGGTCATATGGTCTGTAATTTTCCAGTGTATTTTTTTTATGCTGTTTAGTTTCTTTTCTCTGACAACCTGATCTCTCTCTGAATATCAGCCTGCAGCTGTACTGTGGTAAGATGAGATATTCAGCAAGTGATCTTGCAAGTCCATAATTAACAGAAGCAAAACTCTTCTCTTTTTTTTTTTTTTTAATTTCCCCTTTAACATTCTATTTTTTTGAGTTCTGTTCAATGTGATCTGTGATTTCCATTCCCCTCCCATTTTGCAGGCCTGGATTTTCTGGTCCCCGTCGCAGGTTACCTCTGCAGGCTGTGTCACAAATTCTACCATAGTGACTCTGCTGCCCGGGTCACACACTGCAAGTCTCTGATGCATTTTGAGAACTTTCAGGTTAGACCCCTTTGGCGATTGCATGGCCTGGCATTTGTCACCCTGTCTGTGTCTTCTCCATTTCCTCGGCAACTCCCCTCTTTCACCTGTCTGTTTACAGCACCTTCCCATTGTCGTCCATGTCCATCACCATGTTTGTTGCCACAGCTTTCATCTGGTATGCTCTCTGCTTGTCTTCAGCTCCTTGGCGATCAGACACAGTTCTGCTAATGTCTGCCATTGCCCATTCTCAGTTGGAAATCCTCCATCTCTCCAGCCACTGTTTGAGCTGCACTGAACCTGTGAAATGGAATCCCTGGTTCAGCCTGAGACTTGCCTGATCCCTTAGCAAGTACAAATGAGTGAAACTGGTGGGAGACTAGATAAGAAGAGGCTGCTCATTTTAAAGAGAGCAGGAAATTATACGAATCTGTCTAGATGAAGAAACTCTAGTGTCCGTGATGCTGTAAACAGGCCCTGAGACTCAAATTACAGATAGGAAACATCTATACAGGGGACAGACAGTTGGAAATGCCTCTTCAACAGGGTAGAAGTGAAATTCCAGGACTGTTTTAGAAGATGGAGACCTCCAATCCATAAGCAGTCGGGCAGCAGGGACCAACTTGGGAGCTTCTGATAGGCTGTCTGGAGGCTCTTCACTAGCCCAGAGTTCAGCGGGTTAGTGCTGTTCCTCTGCTTTATCCAGTCCACACAAAGAAGATACAAGAATGGCCCTTGAATTCAGCTGTAAACTCATTCACTGCCTCTTGTAAGTCTTGATGGCTGGATCTGAGTTTGCACAACCTCTACTGCCCTGAAATCCAAGCCCATCATGCTGCTCTTTGTTGTGGCTTTCCCTTCTCCTTTCAGTGACCATTGTCTGGGTCTCAGGTATGGAAGAGGAATTCCCTGACGCCCAGGATGGAGGAATAATTCCCATTTGGATTTCCACTGCTGTTAGGGCCAAGGCCTGCTTCTGCAAAAATACCCCATTTCTCCTCCCCAGGTGTATTTGTAGTTTCTTCATGGGGTGTACTTGCTGTGGAGCTTTTCAGCTAGTCTCAGACAAGTTAACTCCTTTGTGAGGCCAATCAAAGGTTAACAGTCTCCTTTCTGTTACCTTTACCTAGAACTGGGGGGAACAAGTGTGTCCCACATGAGCTAACAGTTCTTAACATCTTTGCAGCAGGTAGCACTGCAGCTGTTCCTCTAGGTCTTCCACTGCCTGTCCCCTGTGCAGATCACTTCTGGAATGAAACAATCAGCTCCCCTTGTCCATCTCATGCGTCAGTATGTTATATTCAGATCTATTAAGTTACATTCCCTCTTTCAGCTTGTTAAAAATGAGTTAGCACAGAACCAGTGAGTGTTCCTCTCTTCCCCCTGTAAAACCAGGGAAGATGCTACTGTTTCAACCCATCTGTGTACCCAGAGGAAAGTGTTGTCTAGGAGTTAGAGGACTAGGAGTCAGACTTCCTCTCGAGTCAGTGAGTTGTTCTGTTACTAAAGGGACATCACGTAGCTTCTGTGAGGATGGCTTCAAGGGCTACCATGAGAGTTAATTCACTGATATTTTATAAAGTGTTTGGAAATCACTGATACCAGATTTATCTGGGTGTAACTTGGAGTTTCCCTTCCACAGATACTTAAGGGTAGTCTCAGTTTATAACTAGTCAGTGTCTTTTTGAATCTGGTGATCTCAGCTAAAAGCAATTACTCCCTGGACTGTCCCTGCTGCTGGCTAGAGGACAAGGACTGTCATGGTCTTTGCATTAAATGCCTTCTAGTTTCTTTAAAGAGGAGTGATCAGCACTTCTGGCCAGAATTCCAGGCTGGAGGTTTCCTGGCACCAAATTGCTTCTGTCTGACAGTCCAGTGCACCACTCTAGAAACAGCTACTTTGCAGTTTGTCAACAAGAGTTGCCCTAGATTAAGATGTGATTTTTTTTCAACTGAGTTAATTACACTAGTATATAATGCTTTGTGGACACTTAACCCAGAATAAGCTGGTTTAAACTGCTGTATCATAAATCAATGTGGAACACACTGAAAGGGTCTTTATAAGGGTTTGCACCACTTTAATCAATTAAAAAATTAAACTCCTGCAACTTTGTGACACAAACACCATCAGGCTGTTAGCAGCAGGTGCTGATCAGAATAACTCTGGTACTGAGTGTGTATTGAGTTCACTTTGAGTGCATGAGATGTTTCTGGCTGTTCAGTATAACTGAATATTTTTCACTTAAGCGTGTCTACACAGCAGAGACAATTGGCCTTTTACCTGTTTCACCTCATGCAGAATGGGCTCTCCTCCTCAGGCACCAGGAGCTTGAGCAGGTACAAACACTTGAAATGGCTGACCTAAAAAATTAAGACTTCCTAAGCCTCCATCTGCTTCTCTACCGTGCTACCAAAAGCAGGAGCTGCATTGAGTGCTATTTGAAGAGCAACAAGAGTTGTACGTATTCTCTAGGAGCCAGGAAAGACCACAGGAAGGACTTACCTTTTGTTCTCCATGTCAAATGGCTAATACAGCCCCTTCAATGGCCACGTACGATCGTGCTTGCTGATACTGTTGGGTTCAGTGCAAGCCCCTTGTTCTAGGGCTTAAGTTTAGAATTGCCAATCACTTTCATGTCTGTGGAAGAGAAGGAACCTCGTGCTGTTCACTTACTCACATGTGTAAGTAAAGCCCCCAGACTGACTAATTGTGGCTTAGGCTGTCAGTTGTACTTCTGTAGGTTAGTTCCACATGGCTTGTGTGTACTGCATTTCTGAAGTTGCAGTGACAACTTTAACCTCCTTGCTAGTCTCGGTTTGGGTACCAGTCAAGTAAGTCATTTTGCTGACAATTATAGAGCCTAAATTCACAATCTACCGAATGTCTGAGCACTCTTGTGGGGATATGTGCTGCTCAAAATACCCTCTTAGAAACATCCCCTTAAATGTGATTTTACGGAATACTTTTTCTCCAACCTTGATGCTCTTGAATAAGAAGCACAAAGTGAATGAGCCAACAGATTGACTGCATTGCTTAAATGAGTGAAGTGCAAAAGGAAACACAGTCATTTCACTGTGTTAATCTGCAGCAAAACGTGTTAGTCTAATTATTTTCCCTTTGAGTGCAAGCAACCATTAGTCTCCTGTGCCTGGAGGGTGAGATTACATGTTTCCTGACCATCATCCCCACAGTCAGTCAGTTGTACAGATTCAGTTGGTAGTTGGGATAAGAGTTTTCTTGCTTTCACTTACTCAACTGACTATTTAGATTTATCCTGTCAGAGACAGATTAACAATGGTCAAAGGCTGGTTCTAGAGCCTTATCCCCACTGTCACTATCTAATCCTCAAGAACAAATAAAACCTTAATACTAGCACTTTTCTCCTCTCCAGTAGCTAACCAACCCATACTTGTATTACAAGGCCTTCCCTCAAGAGCCATAGAGTTGTGCTTTGTTTGGAGACTAGGCCAGCCATTACAGTCTGTCACTGTCTTTTGTGCAGGTTCCTCCTGGATTAGCTGAAACTGTCTGGTCTCACCCCAGTTATCACTCATATGCTTTTCCTTTGCACAGAAATACAAAGCAGCAAGGCAGTGTGCTACAGCAGCATCCATGGAGACCTCTCTGTGCTCACCGGGCTCTGGTTTTCAGTCACCTGATGTCCAGCAGCAGCCCCCGGCTGTTAAGACAGAAGATGAAGCTGAGACCGTGAATACCCATCACGTCCCAGGAGAGGAAATTACAGAATTGGCATTAAAAGAACAAGCCTCCATGTCTCTAGAGAATAAGAGTGAGCTGGGCCCCTCTGGGAGAAGGGCTGAAAGCCCAGCCAGTGAGACTGATATATGTGGAGCCCTGGTCATAGAGGAGGAAGGAAGTCAGGATGAGAGTAGCAAGTCCCCCACCACTAGTGAAGACTGCCTGCTCTTAGATGAAGACAAGGCCACAAGGGCATTGCTGGGACACAGTGTAGCACACAGACAAAGAGATGGCACATACCAAGCCCAGTACCCAATGAGTGAAGGGGATTCTGAACAGGAGGCAGCAAGCATCACAGGCCAGGAGAAAGAGGCAAATAGATGTTCTTCAGTCCCAAAAGCAGCAGCAAGTCTAACCCCAGCAGGGCGTAGACGTTCTGTTAGACGCAAACCCAGATAGAGCAGCTTTAGAGCGAGAGCCGTTTGCATACAATATTTGCTGGAAATGTTTATTTTCGGAGTCTTTTAATAGAGCAAAAAACCTTCCACTTCAATGCTGTTTTTACTTTAAAAATAAACAAACTTGGCTTTAGTGTGTCTAATATAGGATGTTGTTGGGTGTTATTTATATGGCTGGGATGTGATGGAGAGTCAGTTTTATATTGTTAAATCTCAAAGTTGCTGAAGCTGGCCTTCCTAAAGCTGAACCTCATTGCTTTAAGTAGCCAAGCCTGCGCTCAGAGGCTTCTCACCATACTAGCCAGCTACTTCCTTCTGTGCTAAGGTAGTTCCCCTTGCACATTAGTCTGAGGATAGTAAGTGATGTGAACAGAAAAACCAAAGGGAATTACACAACAAAGGGAAATGTCAGCCCCATGAACATAATTTGTGCCCTTTCATAACATGTTCTCTCACAAATCAGTGCACTAGACAACAGGATAGCTTAGGACCCAGTTTCAGACTAGAACATGAAAACTGCTCAGACTGTCTACACGGCAGAGTTTTTCCAGGAGACCAGAGGTATTCTGGAAAAATCTGCTACGTCCAGGGAACGTGTCTGCTCTTCTGAATTTTTTTTCGCATCTCTATAAGCCTCATTTTACAAGGAAGGAGGGATGTTCTGAAAAGGGGGTTTTCTAACATTTGGCCCAGTGTAAAGGGTCCAAATGTCGGAAAAGCCTCTTCTGGAAAAAGCTACGCAAACTACAATTTGGGTAGCTTTTTCCAGAAGAAGAGTACAGTGCTGAAGCCTCAGTCACTTCTTCATTCAGGATTTAAAGCAAGCCTGCTACTCAAATGCTTCTATGAGGGCATTCAGTTTGTTAGCATTTATAAAGAAACTTTTAATACACCATCTCTAAACTTTCAACTGTATGAACTATGACAGTCATTTCACAATGCTGGCATCAGGTCTTTCCACCAGAAGCCACAGACAAGAGCAAGGTAGTTTCATAGACTTACAGCGGTCATGCAATTTTACAAACACATTATCTCCCAGACATTCAGGATGAACTCTGTCATAACAGCATTGCTGGCTAATCCCACCCTATCACACCATGAGGCTATGATACAGCAAGGGGCCCTGACTAAGGTGCTAAAACTCTGAAGCCTCTACTAAGTCTCTAGAAGTGGTTTAAAAGCAGCTAACACCATCCCTATCCAGTAAGTAAAGTATGATGGTAGTTTACAGTGCAGTTGCATGGAAGGAGGAATAGTGGGGATTAGAAGACTGTCATTTAGCCAGTATTTCATCACAGAACTTTTGTAAACCTAACAGCACTGTAGACAACAGGGAGACTGCAGAAAAAAGTTACCTTCCCCATTTAGTCTGGAGCCAAGATGAAGCCTCTGCTTGCCATAGATCTCCAGAGCAGTAAAGCTTAAAAGTCCAGTTTACTAGGGGAGAAGAGGCTGTGAGGTAGAATTCTGGACACTTTTCAAGGGCAGACTTAGCCATGCAGGAGAACAGCTACTACTTTCCTTTGTTCCTGAACTGTGACCAAAGAGGCCTGGACATGAATGCCCACACTTGCAGCATGGGCATCCCATTCCCCCTTCTAATGGGAACAATAAGTTCAGATCTTGAGCTATGCTTGGGAGCTGGAAATATTGACTCCCCATTTATCCCCCTAACCAACGTATTTGCTGATGCACCATCAGTAACACAGAAAACATGACACACGCAGAAGGACAGAACATTTAACCACTGGGTGAAAATGCACAACAGGAAATACCTTTTCTAGTCAATTTAACATTAAACTAGTGGAGGTCCCATTGGAAGCAAGTATCAGGGATAGCCTGATGGAGCAGGTCCACATATCTGCCAAAACAATGAGAAATCCTGTGGCACCTTAGAGACTAACATTTATTTGGGCGTAAGCTTTCATGGGCATCTAATGAAGTGGGTTTTTACCCAGGAAAGCTTATGTCCAGATAAATCTGTTAGTCTCTAAGGTGCCACGGGACTCATTGCTCCACTAGAAGTACCAATTATTTGAGTTTGTGTCCAGCAAACAGAGAGAACTAAACATCTGCATGTGGTCCCTGCACATCTTGCATGTTCTGTCCTTCACTCTGCTGCTGGAACTCCAGACGAGTCTGACGGTTGGATTCCAGCAGCTCCTTCAAACGGGCATGCAGGTGGTCATTCTTCTCCTCCAGGTGATCCAAACAGGAGTTGATCTGGTCCAGCATTGAGTTTATTGCTGCATATTCTAAAAGAAAAAATATTCTGAATTTAAATTCTTGTACTGCCACCATGTATTCTGAGAAGTATCGGGCAAATATACCTCAGAACACACACGTCTTCTCTGTAGATAATGTCAAATATACTGTGAAACAGTCTGTGGGAAACTGGATAGTTCAGGGGATTGGTAATGTGATACAGGGTGTTTCACCTCAGTGCCACAGGCCATGCAGTAAGTGGTTATCTGACAGCTGTTTGGTTTTGGTCAAGTAAGTGGTTGGGCTCTGGCAGCTCCCACTAGACAGGGATCCATGTTGTAAGAGGGCAGAATAAATAACTGAATTAATCTCTTCACCCACCCTAAAGGTGGCCTTACTTAATCAGGATACAGGCACTTTGAGAGGGTACTGTTGAGAAACTTACCACAGAAAGGGTACAGCACAGAGAGTGTAACCTCCAGAGCTGCTAGTCTAGGACTTGGCATGTGAAAATCTGGAGGAGTTCCAGAACATCACAGCAGCTGATGTGATAGGGTAGGAGTAGAGGAAGAAAGGAACACTGCACTGGAGTCCCTTTGGGTATGTCTAGACTACCGCGTTTTGTCGACGGAAGTTTTGTTGACAGATACTGTCGACAAAACTTCCGTCGACAAAGAGCGTCCAGACACATTGAGTTCTGTCGACAAAGCAAGCTGCTTTGTCGACAGAACTCCGTAGTCTGGACGCAATGTTACAGGTAATAACACCTTCTGTCGACAGAGTTCTGTCGACAGAAGGTGTTATGCCTCGTAAAATGAGGTATACCGGCATCGACAAAACTGCTGAGTTCTGTCGACGTTATGTCGACAGAACTCAGCGGTAGTGTAGATGCTGGTATAGGTTTGTTGGCTCTAGACACACCCTTTGAAGGAGGTGAAGAGAAAGGTCTCAAGGTCCTCAGGGAAAAAGTAACCAGAGGGATGAATGTGGAACAAACTTCCATAAACAGAATTTAGCCCCTTAATTTCTGATGTTCTTAACCCAGGTCTCAATAGTGCAGAGATTACATAGATCTTGCTTTACCAATTCACACAATACTAGGAAGCAAGGATTAATTGTAAGCCACCTTGCAGGATTTGTGCACCATGTTATATAGCCAGCACAAGCCAGGTCCAACAGGCCATTCAAACCTACTTGTCAGGCTGCTGCTTGCAAGAGTTACGGGAGTGGGGGGGAACCCTCACACCAAGCCCCGAATAAAAGGAAGAATGATACTCATATACCTACCTACAAAGAAAATTCTATAATTAAAGCCTCAGGAAGAGCCACTGATTTCACTTCACAAACCCAGGTCAAAGTTCGCATGGGAAGATTTTTAGTGTTCTAGACCAGTGGTCCCCAACACGGTGCCCGCAAGCGCCATGGTGCCCGCTGGGACATTTATGCACGCCCGCTGACTGACC